GGTATGGTCTTTCCAATAAACGCTTCCCACCGCAATCCTGGGAGAATAGCGAAATCAGGAGGTATTCGCGCTGCTGGCAAATGGAAAATTGAGCCCTCGTACGATTTTAGTGCGGCACGTGTTGGGATCTGAACGCGTATTGCCCCGACGTACGTGCCGCTATCTTCCGTCATACTGTATAATGTTCCATCGAACTTGCACATATTTCCGAAGACAGTATAAAATCTCTCTCTCTCTCTCTCTGTCTCTCTCTCACTATGCGTGTAGATGTGTATGTATGTGTGGCACCAAGAGATTCCATCGATTATGTCGCGCGGGGCGGTTTATATACGCTTCTCCGTATTCCGTCATGCGTTTCTTTGCCAGGGCGAGCATAAATCAACGTTTTAACAAACTTCCCCCCCCTTCCCCCTCCCGCCCCCAATCCCCTTCCTCGCCGACGTGATTAATTTATGTCTCGCATTTAATGAACATGCCCGGTATAATTATACGCAAACATTTGGAAATTGGTACCACATGCGATCCGAGTGATATCCGATGGATCGCCATCAAATTCCCCTATATTATTATTTATGCACAAGTGCAAATATTAATGCAATTCGCGAATTCGAGCGTACATTTTCGACATTTGCCGGACGTTGACATTAAAGAGGAGAAAGAATTTTCCGCGAATCACGCGTGCGAAACGAAAATTGAAGTGTTACAATTCTTCACTATAATATGTCTCTTCCATGCTTCTTCCTGTCACGTCGAGTATGCAAATTATCCCGCCGGTAATTCGCGCGGACGTCGATCCGGCGAGCTCGCCCACGAAAGGGTTAATTACTCGCGGCCGGAACAGATGACGGTAATTCAGCGTGCTCGGCTTAAGGGCTAACGAGAGACGCGCGGCAAGGCGTCAATTATGGGCAACTCATTTTTGACCGAGGAATACCGCGTGTTATACCAGCCCGAATTAAATTACCGCGTCGCGACGACTACGCATTACGTTCTCTCTCTCTCTCTCTCTCTCTCTCTACCTATCTCTCACTCCCCCTCCCCTCCTCTCCCGACACGGGATTCGTTACAGGCGCCCCTTAATTGCCTCATCAGGCGAGTTTGCAAAGTACGGATACCGTGGCGCGCGGCGCACCTATGCCGCGTATTAACTACCGCATACGCCTAATTCCCAAGCACGCACGCACGCGAGATACGTGTATGTATATGCATATATAAAATACGTGTACACACACGTTACCTTACCGGGGCAAAGTCGCGGGAGACGAGAGACGCGGCCGAACATCATCATGCCGCGAAACAACCGTGAACTTCATTTCGCATATATCCGACGACGATGACGACGACGACGACGACGGTACGTTGCATGCACGGCGTGCATGCAACTCCCGCGCCCGTCTAATTTCTAACATCGTTCGTATAGCCCGCGGGATACTATGCCGATTATATTATACCCGCCGGTGCGTTTGTACTCCCCCGACAGTACAGTCGCGGTACGAGTCCGCGTAAATCATCCGCCTCTAATTTTCGAGAGGGATTAATATCGCGATGCCGCGTGCGCGCTTGGGGTTAACAGCGCGATGTTCGCGCTGCCGGCACTAACCCTTAGAGTAACAGGATCTCATTTAACTGGCACGGCATAAGTTCCCAGACTTCCATAAATCTTTTACGTTGCTATAAAGGTGAGGGAATTAACGTCTTATTACAAAGAAATCCAATTCTGTTAATGAATATTAAAAATATACACGTATTATAAATGCAAACGGAAGAGATATTGATGTAGAAATTGATTTGATTTTGGCAATAATTCGCGTGTCTTAAAAAGCAAGATAAATCATTCAAGGATAATAATTTAATTAATAATATAATAATAACCAAATACCAATTTTACGTAGAATAATTTTGAAATAATTGAAATTTTCTTGTTAGAGGGATTAAACGTTAGAGAGAATGAAAAATCATATCAAATAGTGTCTATATTGGAATGCATAGACATTTGTAATAAATGATAAGTTTCGTTCTGCAGTCGCGTTTTGAAGAAATCAATTCAGTAACTCCTCCCTCCGGCAGAATGTTCAATCGGAAGTAACAAACTTCGTAATAGAATGTTAATTATTCAGTCGTCTCGAGACGATATAGCTTTTTCCTTCGCGTGCAATTCACCGGTCGTCGTCGCCGCGCCGCCGTGTTATTAAGCAACGCGTAATCGATCCCCGAGCAACGAGCCACACGACGAATGCTGCGTCCGGTTCTCTCTCGTATACTGTTATAAATAATTCATACCGCGGTGCATTTGTTGTTTCGGTTATACCGTTACATTAGTCGATCCCTTGTAATTGCTCGCGGCGAACTATCCCCGGTTCTAGCGCCCCTCGATCGAAGTTCTAATTAATCCGGCAGCCAAGTTCGAAACACGATCGGCGATCCTGTCCGCCCTTTAATTGGTCACCCAAGTAGGTCTCCCGTTCTCGCAGGCCCGCGCTATGCGACGTGCAACGAACGGTGCATCCAACCACCCGTCTCTCCTTCTCTTTTCTCTCTCTCTTCTCTCTCTCTCTCTCTCTCTCTCTCTCTCTCTCGCTGTATCACCCTCTTCATCCCACGAGGTATGTTTCGTCCGTGTATATCGAACCTGACTTCGAACTTCGGCTCGCCTCTTCGTCGAGACGTTGTTGCGTCGCGCTCGGACGTAAATCAGCAACGTCTAATTTCCTATCCACGTCGTGTCTGTGGAGAGAGCGAGAGAGAGAGAGAGAGAGAGAGAGAGAGAGAGAAGTGGTTTTTGCACCGATTCAATTGCACGGCTGCTCCGAGGCACGTACGCGCGTATTAGAGCCGACTCCGGACGTAAATCACCAACGTCTAATTTCCTAAGGATAACGGAGTGCTCTGTAAATGCGCCTCGCCCCCCGCCAGTAAAAGGGCCAACGGCCGAACGGGAATTTCTCGCGAATGCGACCGGAACGGAAAAGCGATGTGCACTGCAGCTGATCGAAGCTGCGGCGCGGCGGTTCAATAGCGCAGCATCTCTCTCTTCCTTTCCTTACGGGTGGAAATCCGACCAAACTGTAGATTGATCTTTAGACGTTTGCACAATTATTTAATGGAAACCCAATAATGTGTATATCAGCGCCGATATTATTTCCATTTCCGCAATCGCGACGTTAACTCATTGTCAGCCAGAATTTTGTTAACCGGACCGTTAATTGAGTCCCTCAGCGCGCAACCATTCGTAATAATAAAATAAATATTAATTAATGGCAAGTACGTATTAAAACGTGCTTTTATACGACGACTCTTACTGAATTACAGAATTATCGATACGTAACGTAATATTCGTTTATCAAATATTGAACTTTGTACAACGTTATAAACGTAAAGGAAGCAAACGAGATTCGATATTATCATTGGGAAATCACTGGCAAAATTCATTACTTGATCGCAAAATTATTACTTAACATCATTCGTCTCCCCGTGATAATAACTGTCCCATTTAATGAAACACAATTTTTTTTTCAGCACAGTTAAAAATGTGTTCGCATGTGCCTCGCAGGATTTTAATGTTCTCGTTTACTTCCGTCGAGACACAGAAAAAAGATGATCGATGCGGCACTCTCACGAGGAGGGAAAAATCGATCACGCGGGGAAGACTACTCGTAAGAGACGCGATAAAGACGAAGCTGTCTCTTTATTAAAAGCCCCCTCCCCTCCCTCCCTTCCTCCCCCGGTAATCGATATGGCGGACTCGCATCTCTCGTTGTCCGGGGTGATTTCTCATTTATCAGAGACCAGCTATAGATTCGTCCAGATACTCCAGATCATCGTGCGAAATCCCACCCGCCAGAGCGGGATCGATTGCAAGGTAGACAAGAATTTCTCACTGGACTCCGACCGCTCGTCGGACGATCGCTTTCGCTATCCGGGAGAGCTGACTCCTAAGGAAAGGATAATCCGTATCCCGCAGGATGAGGCTCACCCCTGGCTCGGCTCGGGCGCCGAGCTTGCACTAAGGAAGCCGGGGAGACTAGATCTGAGAGGTAAAAGGAGAAAGAGGACGGGGGTAGCCGCGGATAGACACAACGTGGGAGAAAGAGGAGCATCGAAGCGAGAGCGAGAGGAGGGTGAGAGAAAAGAGAAGAGAGAAAAGGCGAGAGAGGAAAGTGAAGAAAGACAGCGCGCGCGCGGGGTCGGACAGTGGGAGGATGAGGATAAACAGTGAGTCTAGTCCGAACGGAAACAAAAGGAGAAATGGGAAACCGCGGATAGAAAGGAATGAAGTGAAAGGCGGGTATAGGGGCTTGAGGATTGAGGATTGCGGGGGATGCAGCGGCGAGAGAAAAGGCAGCGGGTGGCTGGCTCGAAAGTGGAAGACGACACCGCGGGTGGTGTCGGCTGGGGAGTCGCCCGCCGTGATTCAGCAGCCCCAGGGTTTCGCGCGCCGCGCGGGGGCTAAGGCGATGATATCCGGCCGGTGGAGGAGCAGCCGCGCGGCGAAGTTTCTCTCGCGCGCTCGCGAAAACTTTTGATGATACATCGCGGGCGCGCGCGACCGGGGAAACTCCGTAATTAAAATTGGCGTGTACGAGCGTGATCGACGTGACGAAAGAATGATGGTGTTGTAACAGCGGTTACGTGTGTAACGAAATGATAGCGATCAAGCAGATTTCGACTTACTCGTCACGACATGGAGAACACGGTTCGATAAGTGTTCCGTTAGTTGATAAGTCGCGTTCATGTCAATCAAGGATTACCGAGGAAATCTGTTTTTTCCACACGCGCCAGCTAGGCCTGTCGAATAGATTCTTATAATATATAAAACTAAAACCCAGTGTTTTTATTTTACAACTTGCTATGTTACTGCTTGATTCTTGCTATTTTTCTTTTGATAGGCATATATTATCACCCTTATTTGCCTATTTCTAATATTTAAATATTAGAAAATATATTAACTATACTACTTCTAACTTTATACATACATAGCGTAAATTTTTCGAATTTGCAACGTAGATGCACTTTCATCGTTTACGTATAATTAAATTACAATGAAATAAAAATAGATATAAAAATATAAATTAAAATATAACTAATATTTCAATTATATTTTTTATAAATACCTATATATTTGTTCTTAAAATATCTATGCTACATTTTAGAACACACAAATAGAGTAGCATTAAAAAAAAATCATTATTTCTAGTATTATAGAAAGGCTGTTCTGACGATGAAAAGTTATTGCAAAGTGTTTTGTACGATTTCTAAGATTTTCGTTCTTTCAATATCGGCGTGCCAGAGCTTTTTCGCAGATTTTCACTTAACGAATTCGAGCGACTGTCGGTGCCGGGGGACGGTAAAATTTCGCGGCGTCGTCGAGTCAAAAGACAGACGGTGCCGACTTGCACGGAAGGAGACGAGGCCAACGGAAGGGGGAGATGAATTCTTAGGGCGGGGTCCTCACGCTCCCTCCGTAACGTGGCGATTCACCCGGACCGCTCGGAGAATCACCGAGATTGAATACGATGGGCGCGAGCGAACGAACGGACGGGGGAGGAGAGGATGATCTCTTGCGACGACGAAGAATCCGAGAGAGCTGGAGAGCAGTTCGCGCGTTAGTTCCGGAGCGCCGAGCTAATATTTGAAGTTCCTGAAATAGTTACACGCTCGGTCGCGTAATGAGCTCCGGCGGCGCTCCCGAATAATCATTCCTCGCGCGCGCGCGCGCGTGAAGAGAGAGAGAGAGAGAGAGAGAGAGAGAACGATCGCGCCGCGAAATCTCCGCGCGAGTTCTCCGCGAATCGACGTCGCGTGATCTCGTGCGGCGAAGGAACACGAGTTCCGAGGAGAGACGAGAGAGAGAGAGAGAGAGAGCGAGACACTCGCGAGAGACGTAGACGGAAAGTTCAATAAGCTCGTCCCTACGGGCAGACAGGCGGGCGAGAGAGAGGAAGGAGCTTCTATCCGTCGGATGCATTCTCGTGCAACGACATCCGATAGACGAGCGATGTTACGAGCTGTGCATCGTCGTCGTCGTCGTCGTCGTCGTCGTCGTCGTCGTCGTCGTCGTTGTCGTCATCGTGGTGCGCCGTCCGTCTACCGTCTCTCGCGACGCTCGCTTCATCGTGATTCACCGGCTATACATTAGTCCTCGGGATTTTGGGGACGATGTTACCGGGAGTTGACACGGACGTCTCATTGATTTCGCGATCTCCGGAATACTCCGCGCGTCCGTTATAACGTCCCAGTCACGAATTATGCATTAGAACTCGACTGCCTCCTTCGAAGGAGGCGAAGAAGGGGAAGGGGAGAGTTTTCGGGAGGGAAATGTCAGAGTGAGACGGGAGAGAGCGATTCGCCGACTGGAACTAATGACTCTCCCGATAACCATTTATTGCAAGTATCTGTGTTCGGAGATACACATGAAAAACGACAAATTGATGCCTTTGTTTCAGAGATGGAAAGTATATAGTTTTTCACATTTATGTTTACCCGTATCAATTAGAGCGTTCATTATTTTACTACGAACTTATCTCCGAACAAAATAAAATAAATTAAAATATGATTGAAATATAAATCATACACATGCTGTAAGATACATTTTAACCTGATTTATTTTTAAAATACGAAAGAAATCCAATGCAATTATTTTTAATTAATTTATATCGAATTTATATTGCTTTTATCAACGTAATTGTATCTATAACTGAGATTGATGTAAATAAATTAGCTTTTTTGTTAAAAAAAAAATCATTTGCTTGTAAAATAATAAATCTCGGGTTTTCGACGCGCTCTTACAATTGCGCGATTCTGTGAGTCTGGCGGACGTGACGTACCTCGAATATCAGACGTCCTTGTAACTCTGTCTTGTGTAACTCTGATGGTGGTGCTTAATTAAAATATTAACTCTCGGCGGGCCACATTCCTCGGGCCACAAAGCTTAAAGGCCAGGTGGCTTTAAGCTCGGGGGACAACGATTGCTCGACTCGAATCGAACTGTTACGAATGTGCCGGGGGACAGCGAGAAACGGTGGCGGGAGGGGTGGAAGGGAGAGGGAGCGGCGAGGACAAGTTCCCGACCAAATTGTAATCCGGTGATCCCCCGCCTGTACAGCCAATCCCGCGGCCGAACTTCGACGGCAACTCCGGACATAACTCCGGGAGAAACTTCCGGAGTCCCGGAAACGGGATTAAGAGGCGCAACGTGAAAGCTCATCGCCTTCGCCAAAGGATTCGCGCCGGTTCCCCTCGTCGGGCGGGCGCGTTGCTTATTAACTCGCAGCGGAACTCATTTATTTCGCCCTACCTACTTCGCCCATTAGCGCTCATAACTGGTCCTGATTTTCGCGCGAGCGGGACGAGTACGCGTGCCTATATAGACGCGTTTGACGAGGGGGAGAGTTCTTCGAGACGGCAGGCAGATTAGTTTTGCGCCGTACAAAGCATTGCATTGAGGATACGTTCCGATGACATATTCTCAAGAAATTCGAGCGTCCGTCGTCTCCTTTCCTTGACTGAGATTTCAATAAATTCTTTACCTCGTTCATCTGCACTATCTGTATAAACTACAAAGTATCGTAATTATGTTTCATCAAAATATCTTCTAATAATAAGATATCTTATTGATATAATACAAACATTTTTCTTAGTGTACTGTTTAAAAATACTGTTAATAAAATCTCCATGTAATTAGCTGTATCGATAATAGAGGAACAAATCTTGATAAAGCGAACTGTCACATAATTACACGAACCCTCAAGGAACGCCGTACCCTAATTCCACTATCCAAATTGCCCACTTTCATTGTCTCATTTCATTCACGCCACATTGAAATCCGATTCGATCGAGGGGTCGTTTCTATTGAAGGGGTCGGGAAGTACCCTCATGAAAGGATCTCCACGGTCAGGTAAACTTATTAACGTTCCAGTCTCGAGTCATTAAACGCCCTACGCCTTACTGAATCACTTGTTAACGTCAACCTAACAACGTTTACAACAGCGATGTAAAATTTTGCAGAGATGAATCAACATTGAGGATGCAATTGATTTCGTTTATCGACAGTACTCGATCTCTTAGAAGCATAAAATTTCTCTCTTTTTTCTCGACAAGATATTGATATAAATTTTTTAAATAAAAACTTCAAATTTAAGCGTAAACTTCAAATTATTTTCTTGCGAAATATGGGTCGTTAAAAGGACACGATAAAATAACTATAACATATAAATGCAATTTATATTAATTTAATTAAAACTTTTTTTTAATTTAGTATTACAAAATTGCCTCATCTTGTCTGAAATCTAAAAATCTGAGTATTTCGGAATATATTCTCGGACTATATTTTTCGTATTAAATAGGTTCGCGTTTCTCACGTATCAGCGACGAAATGTCCATAAACGCCGTTCGAGATACATCATTAGTACACCGACGAAGATGCATTCAGCGCCGGATTGAAAGCGACGGATTAATCTTCGCGAGCGCCCAACTTACTTTGCGCATAAAATATCGGTGGCTTCCGAGCGCCAAAGCTGTCGGGGGTTGCATTCCTAATCGCCACTCCGTCACGGGCGCCACTTTTGGGACCGGATGAGCCGACGCCGAGTTCCCTTAGGAAGGGCGCGAATGGAAATTGAATCATATTATCAGTCTCAGCACGCCCGTCTGCCTGCTCCCGATTTCTCTTCGCAAGGTAGAGGCGGACGAGAGGAGAGGGAAGAGATAAACAGATAGAGAGAGAGAGAGGGGGGGATGAGAGCGTGATGGGACTCGTGTGTCGTGTCTCGTTATTCCCGTTACCAGACCGCGCGCACCACGTAGACGCGATGTTCATTACGGGAAGTGTACGGTATTTCAAGACGTCTTGAGGGCTACGGCTCTCTGCTATCTCCTAGTGGAGCGCGCGCATTGTCTCCTCGCTTTGTCGTGCATTAGATTTACATCTAATGTGAAGAGATTTCGCAGAGTAATTTCTTACTATGTGCTTTGAGTGGCTGCCGCCGAATTGCAATTATTCGCTGTTTATCATCAACATTGGATTAATTATGCGTGA